ATAGTCTTCAAAGGTACTTTGTGAAAATGTAAGTTTTCTGAGAAAGCCAACTTGCTGCTTCTGTCCTTCTTTAGGCTGGAAATAGGCTGGTACCAGGGTAGTGGATCTGTATTGAAGGTCATGGCAGTTTCACTTTTCAGTAAAATTTGCCCCTCTCTCCTGGTAGCCCTGTATTACTTCCATGCTGTTTCTGTTCATAGGATAACAGAGATCTAATGTTGGGGTATCATGCATAAGGATGTGTTCTCCAGCAGGTAGTCAGTCAGGTGATGTTGAGGTGGTTCTGAAAAGGCATGGAGAGGCAGTTGCAAATGGAACAGTTGAGGTTTTTGGTTTGCTAGTAAAATTTCTTGGGAGTGTGTATGAAACTTTTAATTTTTTTTAATGTGTGTATAACACTTAATGAGATAATACTTAAGACTGTGATTGTGTGTACACAGCTAATGCCTAACAGTTTTCAGACAATCTGTTTAAAACCTCAGAGTGCTATAGCAATGCAAATAGGAATCTGCTTGCTTTGAGTGGGATTTATAGTTTTGGGTAACTTTGCATACTCAAAAATAAAGAAAAATGAAACTTTTCAGGACCTAATGTGACTAATTTGGGGGTGAGATGTTAGAACAAACAAAATGCTTTAAGAATTTCATGATAACTATAAATATAATCAAATAAGCATATAAATTCCACAAGCACAGAAACTGCATAAGAAAAAAATTGGTTTGGGCCTTAGTTCTGGGACAAGTTTTGGCATAAGGTAACAGAAGTTGAGCTGAATTTTTACCAAGGATTGATTTTGTGCAGGGGAAAAAGCCTGTTAGTTTCTCAGAATAGATAATTGTGAGTCATTAATATAAACAAAATAATTTACTGGTTGCATAAATTACTTCCAAGTCTTTCCTTAAAGATGGACACTGTACTAGTTTAACTAAATTCTAGCACTATGTTATTTCTGAATTAGTGATGATATGAAAGGTGTCCTTGCCCATGGCAGGGCAGTTGGAATTAGATTTTTGTTCTTTCTAACCTAAACCATTTATGATTCTTTTTTTTTTGTGGACCAGTCAGAATGCAGAATATGCAAAGACTGTGAGCAGTAAGGATCGTGGGTCCTTAATGTGTAAACTATGTCAAATAGTTAAAATGCTTTGGGGTTTTTTGGAGGCTCTAGGATGTTTTTTTTTTAGTTGGATCAGTTACAAAACACTTATTAAAGTCACTAAACAAATATTTTTTATTTTTAGTCTTTAGCTGTAGCACAAACTTTTATTAAACATGGTTTTTATTCTTGTGTTCTTTAGTGACTGAAATAATTAAGCTATAAATAAAATTTAGTGTACACACAGTCATGTATTTTTAGTAAAAACTGTTTCAAGTGTTAGAATAATCACAATCAATTATTGTTTGGAATAATTTTGAAATTATTTATGTTGTAAAATTGGATTTTGATGGTGTTTTTTGGTGATACAATATTGTTATACAGTACATGGTTTTAACACTATTTAGAGGGTTGATGGACTGCAGTTGTTATATGTATGATGTTTTGAGGGATTGATTGACTATGGCAGTTTGAATGTATGATGCTTAAATAAGTGTGGTTCAATTTCTACTTGGAAAGTAAAATAAAAATCCAACCTGTTTACAGGTGCCGAGTTAATGGTCTGTTATTGCTCCATGGTGTGTCTATCTTTATTTTTTAAAAACCCAGTTTGCTGGCTGCTCTTTGTGAAACCTCAATTTCTGAATGCATGTTGGCATAAGGGATGAATTTTCTGTAAATTTGCTCTTACTGCAATTGGGAATACAGTTATTAGAACAAGGCAGTCTGTTGAATTTGAATGTTCTGTTTCTAGCAAATGAAATTGTTTCGCAGCTTGTCATTTACCTTATTCACAGAATTAAAGGGATGAAAAATTCTTCTCAGCTTACTAGTTCTGTTGAAGCAATAGTATGTTACTGCGTAAGAGTTATTCAGACCACCCTTGTGTGACAGAGGAGGCACCATACTCCTAAAGCTTTTGTAACGCAAATATTAATATTAAATATTAACATCAAAAGTATTACTGGCTCTTCTGGTACAAAATACTGCAGTGTTGAATAAGTGACTTGAATAGAACTCATTCTGTAAGAGATGAAATGGAATTAACCTTCCTGAAGACGGATCATTGTTTTTCAAAAGATATGTGATGACTATATTTTAGAAGATAAACTACTCATTAGAAAAACAGATTAATTTCTCTTAGAGTTCCCTTTGATTGAGGTAGGAGTTGCATTACTGTTTGGACTACATTCTGCTGCTGTTAATCAACAGCTGAAAAATTGCACTAGCCCCCCCCAAATTAACCCCAAACGCCCTTAGTTTATGCTAATTGAGACAGTTGTGAGCCAGAACTAATGCTACCAGTATGAATTCAGGCTTGCTTTGACTGTGCAAGCTAAAGCAAATTGAAATGATGTCTTGTTTACTGTGCTGACAGGAGTGTGTGTGTATTCATAACTTTCAGTAGTTGAGAGAACAGACCTGTAATACAGTTATGAATGTAAATAGCTTCGAAGAATATACTGGAGCCTGTGAGCTTCTTGGAAACTTGTATATGAGGTGATAGGATTTGCAAGCTCTTTGTGATTAGTTTTGCTATGGGAACATCAGTCTTTGTAGTCCTGAACTGCCAACAACCTTTGTCCTTTATTTTACCTTCAGGAAAAAAAAAAAAGGGGGGGATGGGGTGGGGTCATGTTTGAAATAGGGAAGTAAATGAATGTTGGCTAATGGCCATGTCTTTTCCTAGAGCAAAAAAATATCTTGGGAAGATAGATGAGATTGTGGACCTGGATTTGAATGATGTGTGAAGCTTTGTACATTATTTATCAGCACAAACCTTTTTGAAATGGCTAAAGCACTGTTACATTGAAGGGAAAGATAATGGTATGGTTGCCAAGAGGAGATTTGGATTCTGCTAAAAGAATAATCTGTCTTTTAAAATTATCTGTATTAAGCTTTAAGTAGCAGTTAAGAAATGTCCACATAATGCTGAAAAATGTTTTAATAGCACTGGACCCTTTTTCTACTGCTGATTATTAGCATAGTTTATATATTTTGGGGATTTTTGTTAGTATCATTTTGCTCCAGTGACATACCTGATGAAAGCAAAATTATGGGAAAGATCTGTTGAACTATATCTGATTGGCAAGAATAGTAACTAAATAATTATTTTTTATTTTATTTATATATACATTGTTTTTATCAAGTGAAAAGTCCTGCAAGTAATTGGTATAAGTTTTTCCACCTATAGAACTACAGGTCTCGTTCAATGCCATCCTTCTAAAACTGACAACACCAATAATGCTTCTTTTTTGAAGCACAACCATTTTTGAAAGTTGCTTTATAAGTTAAACGGTTGTTTTTATCCAAGTAGCAACTGCATATTCAGCAAACCAGATAATCCATAATGGAGACCTCAGTAAGACAAAAGACTGCAGATGGTGTTTGTTCCTATTGGTTATAAGGTGGCTACAGCAGTTCCCTTTTGTAGATAATGGAAGAGCACACACATCTTACTTATGATGAGTTCAGCTCTGCTTATCTTTCATGTATATTCTTTGGGGTATACAAGTATGTCAATATTTCAGTAATTGGATTGTGAAGAGTTGAACAGTGAGCAGGCCTGTTGAGGACTAAATTTTCAGAAAAAGTGTGATGCCTTGGGGTATGTTTATATGGAAGTATGTTCGTGTCCTCCTCTTCTATGGCTAGGACAAACTTACCTTCCCACTGTCAGCATTCTTCATGCTGATCGTAGAGCTTAATAACATAAAAGTAGTTTCGATATTTCTGTGTTATATTGTGTTGAGATATAAGGGCACATCACCATGGAGCTAAATCTTTCAGAAGAATACCCTTAAAAATAAGCATTCCTCACTTCCCAGTTCTGTAATGGAATACAGATTTATAGGTCAGGTGAAGATAGCCTGCCAGCTTTCGAAGTATTGTAGCATAAAGAGGAAATGGAAAATGAAGGTAAAGCCAATAAATGATTGCTTTGATATGTTAAACTAACAGCACTGCCTACCTGAATCTGGAAGCTGCGAATTAGTGAAAGAAAGCATTTGAATCTGAGTTATTGTGATATTCTGTGCTAGAATGTACTCTGTTATTTGACTATCCCATTTGGGAGAAATAGTTGGATATGATTTTATTAGTTACAGACCTGCTTACAGATACTTGCATGTAGTCATTAATACATTAATATTTTGGATGTTGCAGGTTAGTGTTTTCTTTAAAGCTCTAAAATGTAAAGCAGAAACTGTATAATAAATATTGTCTGATACAGTTTGTCATGGAATTGATAAGAAAGATGGGGAATAAATTTGTATAAATTCTGAAGTAATTATGTGAAGAGTTCTGTGTATTGCTTCTAGATACTGAAAGATTTGCATGTTTTTTATTAGGACTGTCTATCAAAGCTGGAACTCATCAGATTGGCATGAATGACCCTTGATCTGTTAAATCCAGTGCTTTTACCCTAAAATGGTAGTTTCAGAGGGGGCTATGAGTTGTATTGAATTTCAAAGTAATAAAGTATATCTTGAATTCGAGTTTTGCCTTGTGTAAAGGAACTACATTCATCTGTAATAAAGACTAGTTTAAATCTTGATCTTTGAACACTGTTGTATTTGAAGAACAAGCAATTGTGTTCTGGAGTTGCAATTGTGTGCAAGAATAGTGTCCCAAGTTCTAATTATTCCTTGTGTTTGTTAACACTGCTCTTGTGTTTGACACATTTACATGGATTAATACACAGGGTGCCTTATTATGGGCCAACTTGAAGTTCATGAAGTATCCATGTTAAGATAAAAACTTTGTAACGAAGTTAGTAAAGTGGACATTTGGCTTGCCAATTAATATGTGGTACAACAAAATACCAAGTAAAAGCCTTGGAGGCTGGTGGGTTTTGGTTTGGGTTTTTTTTGTTAGCTAACTGTCTGTTTATTTTTAAATCTAGCCACGAGCTGATCCCATCCCAATATGTAGCTTTTGCTTGGGAACAAAAGAATCAAATCGTGAAAAAAAGCCAGAAGAGCTCTTGTCTTGTGCAGATTGTGGCAGCAGTGGTAAGTTGGCTGGATTTACAAATACTAGAAATGTTTGTTTTAGTATGTCTTCTAAAAAATATTTTAAACTTTGAACCTTATCTTCCTTTGAACAAACATAAATCAAGAACTGAAACCAGGGGGACAGAAGAATTTGTTGTTGTTTTTCTTGATTTATCAGTTTTGTTCTTGTTTAGTTTTTTAAACTAGAATTTTGTCATCTTTGTAATTAGGATAATTATAAATAAGAGGTATGAATTCATCTTTATGTCAAAATATAGATCTGCTGAGTTAATTAATAGGGGGACCACACTTTCACAATACAAGAATTCAGTTATTGTTTGGGATTTATGTTGGCTCTGAAAACTCACATTTTGCATTGTGACATCAAATGATGATCAAGAATTTTGCTTACGCAGATTTACAACATGTCAGAAGCTGAGAAATAATCATATGAATTAAGACCATGTAGCAGCCTTTGCTGCTGCACATCTTGTGTATCCAGTTCATTTTTATATAAAATTATTGTGTGAATAATGTTTTAGATAACATACCACATGAGGTGGGCAGCCGGTTACTAGTCAGGCACAAGATAATGACACTACTGATTGCATGTACCTTTCTCCTGTGTGTTGGGGCAGCTCTTGCAGACTCTGTGGCTGTTCCTAATGCAGGTGCTTCTCTTCTCTGTGCTGACCAGTGCTGGGGCCTGAGGCAACAGCCTGAACTTGTGTCAGGGGAGGTCTAGGAAAAGTTTCTTCACCCAGAGCGTGGTTGTGCACTAGAACCGGGTCCCCAGGGCGCTGGTCACTGCACCAAGGCTGACAAAGCTCAAGAAGCATTTGGACAATGCTCTCAAGGCACATGGTGTGGCCCTTGGGGATGCCCTGTGAAGGGCCAGGAGTTGGACTTGATAATCTTTTTAGGTCCCTTCCAGCTCTGGAGATTCTGTGCATCTGGAGTTCCTGAATATCATCATTTTTTAGATATGCTGATGGTAGCTATGGCAGTTCTCAGGGCAGGCTACACCAGTACTTGAGTAAAAACAAAACAGTATGGATAAAAACATGCTTTCAGTTAATCAGGATATGTTGTTGTCTCCTTCTCAATAATCATGCTGATAGTTGTGTTGTATTTTAACCAGTATATTTTTAAATATATTTTAGCCAGTTATTACATGCTGAAATAAGAAAATGACTCATAAATTTTAAATTGTCTTCCTTTAGTGGTTTACAGGTTTTCTCTATTTTCAAATCTGTTTTCTAATACTTGAAAAATTAATACTGGGTTAGACTCTGCTGCACAGAGTTTACATTTATCAGGTGAGCTTAGATATCAGCTACTCTTCTGTTGTGTAATAATTCCCTGGTGGGTCTTAAGACACTTTAGAACTGGAAGTCTTGACTTTCATGGATCAGCTTCTATTTGACTTAACACAGATACATTCTCTCTGCCTCATTAAGACTAAATTATCTTTAATTAGCTCCTCAGATGTATCAGATATAAGGAATGAAATGGTGAGACTGCCAATCAGTTTGCTGGATGATTAAACTTTAGCTACTGATGCCTAACTAAAATAAAAAACAATTTCAGTGCAATTTATAAATAACAAAACTTCACTCAAGTGGAGTTTTATTGTAATTGGATTTGTAATTTTGCACATTGCAATGTCTCTCAAAGCTAGTCTTGCTGGCTAACAAATAGAAAAGAAATTGCATGTTGTGCACAGCAAGCAAATTGTTCAGTTGATCAGAGATTAAATTGCAGTGCCCACTACTGGCATGCCTGTTTTCCCTTTTTGTTTTTGTGTCAAGTCGCTTTTGTCTTTTCAGGTAGTGCCTCTGCATTCTGAGAGCAGAAACTAACGGGATAACTAACTACACATTTTTGTGGTATCTGGGTAGTAGAAATGAAGTGCATTGCTATGTCAGTTGGCACAGAGGATTTTCTCAAGAAGTAAGATGGGGGATGTCAGATGTGAGAAAACAAATCCCATTACAGAAGCAGTCATAGTTTCTCTGGTTTTGGTTGGGCTTTGTGGTTTGCCTTTTTTTTTTTTTCTCCTGCTTTTCTCCCTATCTCTTGATTTTGAAAAGTCAATACACTTGAGAGCTAAAATTGAACTTTTCTTCTATTTTTCCAAACAAGATGTGCAGAAGCAATTAAAGATTAATGCTGCTGACAGATTTTTATAAGGGTTTGAAGTTGTAGAATGAGGGGAAAAAATTGAGTGACTGGAGAATTATAATAAATATTTTTTAAAAGGGGCAAAAATAGCAAAAGGTAGAATACCTATGGGTATTCTCCTTCCAACTGTATGTTATCCTGAGGAGGCAAGAGGGTTATTGATCAAAGATGGGAAGAGAAGACTGGAGAGCAGAGCAACAGAGATACTGGACTCAGAAGAAATAGGAACAGAAAATATTTGGAAAGAACTGGGCAGAGATTGCTTTTAGATGAGATTTAGGGTATGCTTTAGTAATAATGGAATATAGAAATTGTTTTAATTATTGTTGTCTGTTTAAGGATATTGGTTAGTTGGATAAAATGAACTGCTAAGATAACTTGTATGTAGAAAAAAAACTTGCGGCTCAAGGATTTGGAATTGTCGTCATGTTTAATATCAATGGAATATTTTTCTTGAATTTTTATTTGATAATAAAATTTAGTCATTAAAGAAATGCGTTAAGCTGTGTAATTGCTTGAATGAGAAATGTTCCATTGGTAGATAAGAGATACAGAATAACACAGTTACACTTAATTTGTTCAAGCAGTGGTTGCCAACCAGTGAGAATGGATGTTTCATATGTTTATACATCACAGTTATTTATATAAAACAAAATTAAAATCAACAGTTTTAACTGCAACTTACTTGCTCCTTTAAATAGATCACTTCTGTGCAGGGTAGATAACTGGAATTAAATATACTTACATGGAGGTGATTGATTTATGACTATGCTTTAATGTGTTAATAGGATTGTTAAATCATAGTTGATAAAATAAGTTGTTATGTGATATTGATTATTAATATCAGCCTCTCTATAGGGTTTCATTGAAGGGAATAGTATCTCATTGAACTCATCACTGCTGTTATAGTATATTTGTCATATTCTTGAAAGTGTATACTCAATTTTAACCAAAAAAAAGTTGGTATATTTTAAACTGTATGCTAAGAATCAAATGGTTATGCTTTTTCAATGTTTTTCTGAAACTACTCTTTGAATTTATTATTGATTGCTCCTTCTTAATATATTATATCCCTGCATTTTATTTTGAGAAAATGCAGAATTCAAATTGTCTTTGAAAGTTTAATAATAAAGTGGTTTAAGGCTTGGATAAATAGAATAAAGGGAAGTAAAATCTGAAATTGTCACTTATTCAGGTGACTTTTGCATTCCAGCAGTCTTTGCCATTCATGCCTCAGTCCATTAGAAGAAGATGAAAATAGCAAATGTTCATAGATTAGATTGTATTTTTATTTGTGGTGTTTTAGCTCAGTCCTGGACTGAGAAACAGTTCACAAAGGAAGTCTGAATCACTGTAACTACAGCATTACCTAGAAGAAAGCACTCATTCCAACTCTGACAGTGAGAAGAAAGCACCTTTGATGCTTGCCACATCACTGCAGCCATTTATAAGTGCAGCATGGCATCAGGGATTCTTCTCTCTGACAACTTCTGAGTTTATATTCATGACAGATAATCTCTGAATATAATACTATCATAAAGTGTTTCCCTGGGAATGCTTATCCCTTCCTATACAGCAGTGCTTTTATCTTTTCTGGATTAGGGCAACGCTCTGAGGTTGTTGAAGACATGAAAAATCACTGCCAGTATTGCCTCAGGTGCTGGATGTGTTAAGTTGCCTGGTATCTTTTGTTAATTGGAAGTCATGTAGGCCTTCAAGACTACTGTGAAAGGATGGTCCCGCCAAGGAATTTTTGTGTTTTGTGGGAGGTGGTAGTTCAATGTTCCACACCAACCCCCTCAATTTTAAACTTTGTATTGCAATATGTTTTCCTTTTACCAATTGCCAAATTCATTTTTTCCCCTTTTTATTATGCTGAAATTGTTCTTTGCTTATAATTAAATAAGTTGAAATAAAAAACCACGTAGTTTGACTCTTCAGTTTCTCTAGTAGATACTTACTATAGTTAGAAAAATAATGAATGCAGTTTTATCTGAAGATTTCCTCTGTTTATTTTGCACTGCTGTGAAAGGGGAATATGGTCAAGTTTATAAATACACTTTTTTCAGAACCAATGACAGTATAATATGCCATGGAAATAACCTAGTGAAAATAAAAAGTTCCGTTTTAGTGCTTACATAGACCATTCACAGTCAGTTACAGTAAAAGTCAATTTTCTACCTGTCTTCATGAATGGGTTTCATGATAATTATTCTGTGTATTTGTCAATACATCAAAATTCAGTCTAACCAATCTTAAATCTCAACCTCTCAACAATATTTTGGTATTTTTTAGGACATCCATCATGTTTGAAATTCTGTCCCGAGTTAACAACAAATGTGAAGGCATTGAGGTGGCAATGTATTGAATGCAAGACATGCAGTGCATGTAGGATCCAAGGCAAAAATGCGGTAAGTTAGACTTGTTCAGTGTTACTTGACTTCTCTTTGTTTATAGTAGCTTTATAATTAGCACATGTCCAAATGCAAATAATTGATGTACAATTTTAAACAATGCTACATTAAGTCTTTTTTCCTTTTTCCTTTTCTCCACCCCCTCATCCTTGCCCTGCCAGGATAACATGCTTTTTTGCGACTCCTGTGATAGAGGGTTCCACATGGAGTGCTGTGACCCGCCACTATCCCGAATGCCAAAAGGTGATCTTAAAAATCCTTTCAATGAAAGTACTTTCATTTGCAGTCTTGTATTAAGTGACCAAAACCTGTTGAGCATGATATTTTTGTTTTTCTTTTCAATGGTAAATAGTACAATTTCATTCATATCAACGGAAATTTGATATGGGGAGTTTTTTCCTCCGGAAAATAATAAAGGTCTGCATATAGTTCACCAGATGAATTCACTGTGTAATGAGTTATTGCCCAGTTTATTGAAGGTGAAATTTTAGAAAGGCTGTTTAAATGCTTGGTAAATATACACTGACAAAGAAGTTCTTGGAACATGTAGAAGAGACTCTTCTTGCCTTTTGTAGGAGTAATTGGAAAAACAAGCCAACAAAACACATGGGTTTTCAGGTTCTCTGATCTCTAGATTTTTGACCTATGGCACCTCTCGCTTTTGCTCTTCTATCCTTATGGCTTTCCCTACCTAATGTTACATTAAAGACTTTCTTCAGTTCTTCCTCTCCTAGTCCCTAACCTTATCTACATTAAATGTTTAGACATGGCTATATAATATTAAAACAATGCTAAATTCAAGTTGTGTATTAAAACAAATATATCTAGGTGTGAAGTAGTATATTCCTTAGCATGCTCTACCCTAATGGCTTTGTAACACACGTGTAATTTTTTACCCTGTCTTAATTCTGTCTAGAGAAAGATCTAGGTAGTATAAGGAAGGACAAGCTAGAACAGAAATTCTTCTACGAACCTAATTGCTCATAATCTTTTCTGTGATTCTTGTTGCCTCTTGTATCCCCCTTTCCATGAGGACTTTGCTTTTAAAAATTTCAGAGTATAGAGGTGGATCACCTTTTTGTCCACTTTCCCTTGCCTATGTCCTGTTCAAGAGATAATTTGCTGACTTTGTATATACTTGGTATGTATCTTGGTACACATCTGCAGTACAGAGTAGATAAACTGTGTACAGCTAAACACTTCTTCCTTTATATAGGGATGTGGATTTGCCAGGTCTGTAGACCAAAGAAGAAAGGGAGAAAGCTGCTTCATGAGAAAGCTGCGCAAATAAGGAGACGATACGCAAAGCCTATTGGACGACCGAAAAATAAATTAAAGCAACGAATGTTGTAAGTTTCTCTTGGTTTTTTATTTCTTTAGAAGTTTTGGAGAATGTAATCAGATAAAAGTTTGATATAGGTTTAGGCACCATTTTTAACTCTGTTCCAAATTGGAGAAAATAGATAACGAGTGATTTTGTATTTACCTTTCAGCCCAATGTTCAATAACTTCTAAATTATAGTAGATGCTTTTGGTGTCCTGTCAGGTGGTGATAAAAAAAATTACTGTAACTTTTCAGATCATGTAAGTTTTTATAAAAAATTGTACCTGTAGCAGATGCAAATGAACTTCTGTATAATAACAAATGCCACAGCTGTCTTTCAAGTATAGCTTCAAATAATTGTAGTACCTAAAAAATGCAAAGTGGATAATATCAAGCTATCAGGAGACCGTTCTGCTCAAAGAGCTGTTTGGCAAATGTATTAAAATTACTTTGTTAGTATCAGCTCACCAAACCTGTTCCAAAAAGCAAACTGTGTAAGTGACAGAGAAGTTCTGTTTTCAGTGGTACTCTGGAAAAGATTATTTCTTGAATTCTGCTGTTAACCTGCTACCAGGTTCTAGGAAAAGAGATGGCTATTCTTCTTGCTTCTCAGGACTGTGTTTATCTAAAACAAGAGTGTGCTGTAATTTTTTTTTAGCAACTGTCTTCCCAGGAAACACTGTAATTGGACATTTTAAGTGTTGGTTAGAGGGCTGTTTAAGTAGTGTTCAAATACTGAGTTGATGTTACACTGAGTGTTAAATAGAAACAGATTCTGTGTCAGCTGCAGTAGCATGTTGCCCTCTCTCATGTGTTCCTATCCAAGTACACTTTTTTCACCCCTATTTAAGCATTATTTAACTATTTGGCTATGTCAGCTGAGCAGCTGAAAAGCTTTCTCATTCTTTACATTATGACATTCTTCTCTACAGTCTAAAAGTTGCATGGGAGCTGCTGTAAAACTTTGCATTTTGCAAAACAAGGATTTTTGAAGCCAGTAGAGCCCACATGTGAAAATAGAAGGAAAAGTACTTGCAGTATAGTGCACTAGTCCAGTTAATTTACTTGATGCTGTGCATCTTGCTGTATTCTCTTTTGCCTTTCTCTCTGCCAGGATCTTTCATCTTGTCTTTTTGGTTCTTGGCCTGAAGTTCAGTGTATGTTGCTCTATGAAAGTAGTTCAGGACAGGAATCAAGTATGACACTACATGAAAGTAAAAGATATAGTTGTACTGGCTGGTACATGCTGCTAGCCTGGGTGAAACATTGTACTTCTCAGTTCTCCTCCTGAATAAATGGCTTAGGAATTTGAAGGTCATTGAGTTTTCTATATATGATTTTGTGTGCATAATAAAAATATTTCATATATCTCTAGCTATGCCTTGGGCTTTAGCTGTACCTCTGGTTTTATTTACTCTTTGAAAACACATAAACCCTCAGCTGGAGGTTAGGGCTCTCTTGTGGTTCTGAAGTGATATTCCCCAGCTTAGTGCTACTGCCGAGACTCCCTGGTCTCTTGTTTCCCCCTCCCCCTGCCAGTGGCTGGAGAGGAAAATTGAAGGCACAAAAAGTACAGATCCAGTTTGAGATAAGAACAAGTTACTGGAAACAGGAGTGAGAAAATAAAGCAAACAGTAACATCTACAGTACCAATAACAAAGTGTACAAGACAGGCAAAACAAGTCACACATGTTTATTTTAAATGGTGTTACCCAGCTGCTCCCTGCTTACCCAACTGCAAAGAACCCCTTCTCTCTGGAACAAAGTCCCTTTCCCTGCCCATGAGGTGGTACAGAACAACTACTGGGTCCTGGACATGTTCCCCTTGGCTACTGCAAAAATTAACCCTGCCCTGACCAGAACCAGGACCGGTTCCAATGCAGTCCTGCCATCTTACTTTTCTGCAGACATGCATCTGGTTTGCATTCCCAATTAGTGGATTTAGCAGCAATGTACCCACAAAAACTAATTCTGCTTCTCCTCCTTCCTCATACATGTAATAGAAAGTTACCCTCCTGTTGTGAGGGTTTTCCTGTTATGTTTTGCTATTGAGATTTTGAGCTGCAAATTTTAAAGTGAACATCATGCTAAAGGTTGCAGAAGTTCTTTTAGTAATATGTGAAGATTATTAACATTTTCAGAAAGGTTTTCTTTGTAGCATGTGAGCTGCATGAGCATGTTACAGGAGTGCTTGGGAAGCATTTAGTAAAATTATTATTTGCAATACTTGCCAGCACATTTCTACTACTTCTGTGTCTCATGTATAAATATAAAGTAATCTTGTTTTGGAAAAACAGTGGTTAGAGATAGAATAAGAGTAGACACTCTTTGACATGAAATCATATTTAAAAGTGATTGTGGAGTATGGAAGACAATAGTGTCAAACATAAAAAGTGCGTAGTCACATGAAATACAGGAAGGTTAGCCAATGCCATTTAGTCCTTGTATAGTACAAAGAAAATATGTCCAGTGGTACTGGAATAATTTTTTGCCTGTTGACCATCTGTAGGAAGCCCTTCACAGGCAAATTACTGTGTGAGATTAACTTAAACCAGGTGTGTGCTGGCCTCTGGCACTGCTAGTGGTTACCACATCTGGCACTGAGAACAGGTCTTGTGACAGACTTAAGCGTATGACACCAAAGGATTCAAAAGACCTAGAAGTTCTTGGTTGTGTTGCCTCTTAGGAACTAACCAAATTTAAGGATGTGTGGGTGGAAAAGGGGCCGGTTCTTAAGCTGGTGGGCCCTTGGAGGTCAGTAAACAGATGGTAGCCCTCGGCTTTTGAATCCCTAATTAGAAGGAACCTGTTGCAATTAATTACTTCAGTATCTCAATTAAGAGGGCAAAAATCTGTGGAAGAGAACTTTCTGCTGCAAAGTAAATAAGCTAACTTCAAAGAGCAGGATGGAAAAAGGAATGAAAGAAAGCATGTGATACAGCTGTGTAGCTTTGTTCGGCTTTGTAATTAGATTGTATGTCCTAATAACTATTTATTTTACTGCAGATATTTTGAAAAGTTCTGTTTCTGTTTGCTAGAATATACTACTCTGCAGTGTAGTTTCTCTGCAGTGTAGTTTCTCTTTTCAGTTATTGGCAACTAGTTAAACATGTAATTCTGTTCTCACAAATGTTTGCTCTCGGTATGCCCTTTTTCTTCCTAGCATTTAAGTAAGATTCACCACTCTTTTTTCCTAAAACCTTCCATGTTAGGCCTCATTAGTTCATGGCTTTTCTGCAAATGCGCCTTGGTTAGTCTTGCTCTTTCCTATTTTTAGTTTTTGTTATTTTTGAATTTCTAAAGACTCTATTTCTTTGGTTTTGTAGTAATGCTCTTAATAAACTACCTCATTTGGCTTTGAGATCTTTGGTGGTAACTTTTACTGCCATGTTTTACATAATCCAACAAGAGTGTGGGGGGAAAAAAAAGGCAGTTTCTTGAAGATTGACTGTTTGCTTTAAAGGATTAATAGACTTTCTCTACAGTTTAAGCAAATGCAGTCTGAAGTTAACTGTTTTGATATCATATTGACACTGAAAACATTGATCTTCTCTGTGTGTACAATAAACTCTATGGTGATGGAGCAATTGTTGTACAAATGCGATGTAATGGTATTTTTTCCAAAGAGGCACATTTTGGCTATGCCTAAAAGTATATGAGAAGGCTGTATATGTGGGAGATCTTGCTATGCCAGTGCTTTATATATAATCTATGGACTGTGTTTTATACATAGGAGGGGAGGGGGAACAAAAAGAAGGGGAAGTAAAAGATGGATGTTATATCATAGTGTGAAATGTATTTCCAAAGTGTATGTCTTTAAATTACTTTAAAGACTTTTAAGTGCAGTGGCCCAGGTAACTTGTTTAAACTATAGTGCTATTTGACAGTAAAGATTTTGAGTGCTGATTTTTATTTTTCAAATTTTTGCGTAGGTCTGTAACCAGTGATGAAGGATCCGTGAATGCCTTCACAGGAAGGGGGTCACCTGGTAGGGGTCAAAAGACTAAAGTCTGTACCACACCTTCATCTGGTCATGCTGCATCTGTGAAGGATTCAAGCAGCAGATTGCCTGTTACAGACCCCACTCGGCCTGGTGCCACCACCAAAATCACCACCACCTCCACCTACATACCTGCCTCTACACTTAAAGTTAACAAGAAAACCAAAGGTCTCATTGATGGCCTTACTAAGTTCTTTACACCATCACCTGATGGTCGCAGATCACGAGGTGAAATAATAGACTTTTCAAAGCACTATCGTCCAAGGAAAAAGGTCTCTCAGAAACAGTCATGCACTTCTCTTGTGTTGGCTACAGGTACCACACAAAAGCTAAAACCTCCACCTTCTTCACTTCTACCCCCAATCCCCATCTCTGGTCAGAGCTCCAGTTCTCAAAAATCCAGCACTTTGACTTCTTCTAACTCTCCCCAAGGTTCTTCCAATCAGTCAAGCATACCCTCCCTTAGTAGCCTTCCTAGTAGCAGTCAGCTAAAGGGACTCTTTTATGGACTCTCTCATGTCTATACCACTTATGAACAGTCTGGAAAAGAGAGTCACCCAAGCTATGCACCCCACAAGCACTTGTGTAGTAAACCAGAATTATCCTCCACATCAACATCTAATAGTGGTTTCTATGGAAAGAAAGAGGTTAGGAGTAGCTTTGTGTCTCATGCCTGTGCCTCTGGATGGGGTGTATCTAGAGGACATGCTTTTAAAGCAATTGATCACGTCAGGAGAACAGCTTTTTTTAAAAAGCACAGGATTGTAGGCAGATTAAAGTATAAAATGACCCCTCAGATGGGGACCCCCTCACCAGGGAAGGGGAGCTTGACAGACGGAAGGATTAAACCTGATCAGGATGATGGTAAGCAAAGGTCGAAGTGCCAACCAAACCTGCGTCCCGTCCAAAACCAAAATTCTTATCACATAGGTCTTAGCTATTTCTCTTGTTCTTATTTCACTTTCATACGAGAATGACAAAACTTTGACCTTTTATCTAATGCTGACTAAATCTCCAAAACATTTTTGGTTGTTTTTTTTTCCTGACTAATAACACACCACTTTATTATTATTTTTTGCATCTGTAGTGACACTAGGAGCCCCAAATGCCTTCATAATGTTGCTTATGGCTGTGTAGTAGCACATGAGTAGCCACTTGTCATGCTACTTCCTTGTTCTTTCCCTGCCATTCCTATGGCAGTACTGCTGTCATCATGATTGTGTGCTGTCAGTGCTTACAACAGTGGGCATTTCAATTCATTTTCCTCTGCTCATTGCTTTTTCATGAATAGTTCCATCATACTACAGTCTCCACAACACCTGATCTCTACTGCTGTGAACTACCTTTTTATTACGTTTATTTAAGAAAAAAATACTTCTAATTTATAATGTTTGAATGCAGACTTAGCTTAGCATTAATCTTCAAGTTTTAAGGGCAACTTTTTTTCTCTTGTGTTTATTTTTTACCTTCCAAAGTATACTGGAATTTATCAGGTGGCATAGTTCTAGCAATCAAATATGCTCCATTCCATGAGGTTCAAAACTAGTTTAGTACAACTGGACCATGAAGGCTTATACAGACAGACAAGCAAATACCAAAAAATAGCTTGTGCAGCAGCAAGCTACAAAAGAAGTGGGGTGAAGGCTTCACTTCTGTTACTTAGTAATTCCAAATTTGGTTAAAATGGGGAGTTCTTAACAGCCATAGTTGCAATCCTATTTAGTAGTATCACTTTGATAATGCGCATGTAATCTTCATGTCTGTGAATAAACTTTTTGCTGGTTTTAAATAACAGATACTGAAATCAAACTAAGCATCAAACAAGAAAATACGGATGTATTTCTGTTGGGAAGCAAGGACACTGTTACACAGGAGGATTTGGAAGTGTTTAAGCAGGCCCGAGAACTTTCCCTGGAGGTAAGAATCATGTTGCACAAAACGCAGTTATTTCTGTAAATAAAAACTCACTTAATTTTCAGTCTCTTTGTCTTCATTTCTAATATATTCCTCTTAATCTAATGCATCATGCTTGCTCTGAAATCTATTTGGGAGACACTGTATGTGCAGATAGGAGACAAGGCATCATGCTGGAATGGATCAGATGATAAGTGACATTAAAGATAGATTTTGAAATATATACTTGAGCATTTTGCAATCAGGACTACAGGATCAAACATAGAGTTTAAAAGTAGCTGATGTCCTGGTCAGGACTTAGAGGATATTGTCATTAATGATTTTCCTCTGCAAAGAAAGCAGATAGTCTGAAAAATTAAGGTGGTCTCAGAAAACACTGCTTGGTAGAAAACAGGTTTAGTGAGTCCATAAATTAATTTTACCTGATTAGTTACCACACTTCGAGTTTAAATACTTTAGACTATATCTAGCAGTGATAATATTTGATCTGAATCAGACTAGTGAACCAGACTTTTACTTTTCTGTGTCTGTGAAATGACCAACCAGTGTCGTTGAGAGAACCTGGTTTAGAAGGTGGGTGAATGTAAGGTTTCAATTGCTGCTTTCTTAAAATGGCATCATAAATGGCTATGTGTTGTACTTCTTTCCAGTAATGGATGTAATTTTTTTTCAGGTTTAGTGTACAGGAACTAACATTATGCAGTGACTCTTTTACAGACTTTATTCACATCATGTTAACCAACAAATTCAATTTGATTTGAAAGATTCAGTCTCATTATTAGCTTGTACTTCTGTTTCCTCATGGAAATAGTTCCCACTACTTGCTTTTTTAATCTTTCATATGCAGTCCCTAAAAGTGTTAGGTGGTAAGGTTTCTAAAAGTCGACATTGAAATTCCTTGTTTTTCCCCACCTTTCTTACTATTTATATTTTGCCATCCCTTTAGAGCCTGGCAGTCATCTTCTGATCAGCTTAAATGCAGTATTATATCTTATATCTGAAATCAAAGTGTTAGCATATTCTTGACTCTTTGAGGTAAATTCCAGTTACTCTTGAAAGATTGTGCTGATACCTTTGGTCTCATTGTTTTGACAAAAGGACAGCTTTGAGTTTGAACAAGAATTACAGGGACATCATCACACTAGGTGCTGTGGGAGAATAGAATTTGAGGCTGTTGTGCCTCTTCTTTGGCTGGGCTTTTGCTGCTGGTATTTTCTGTTTGCAAACTCTGTCCTCTGTCAGTGTTTAAACAGCTTAAGCAACTGATTTGGGTACTTAAGGTTTCACATGCTTTCAGTGGGTGAAATTGGTTATAAACAGCTAAAGTTTCTTATACTTTTTCTGTAACTAATATGTTTTTTTTTTATTGCACCTGACAGAAAATTGGGTGTAAAAACACTGGTGAAACAAGTGGGCGATACCCTTCAGTTATTGAGTTTGGAAAATATGAGATCCAGACCTGGTACTCTTCACCGTACCCGCAGGAATATGCAAGGTAGCAAGTTGTCAAGATTGCCATACATATTTGGCATTTTTTCCGATGTGAATGTTACAACTTATTTTTACTCTTTTGTAGCTGTTTATAATTTAAAGCCTTTAAAAGTAAATATGCTTTTGTAATTATAACTGAAAACAAGGATTTGTCATTCTTTTTAGCTAGTTCTAAATTAAAGATGCAATAAAAAGTTGTTTTCCTAGTCCTGTATTAATGTCAGTGTCTAGTGTGTATTGGTGTGGTTTTGTTCAAGGTTTATTTTTGTGGTTTTGTTTCATTGGTTTTGTTTTTACTTATTTGTTTGGTTTTGTCTGGGGGTTTTGTGGTTTGTTGTTGTTTGTTTATTTGTTTTTTTTTTTTCTTACACGGGTGCAATGAAGTATGTCCAACTTCTGGCCCTTTAGACAAAGTGCTTTTGGCTGTGGTCCAGTATTTGTTAACCTCCTTTTTGCTAAGGACCAGGGAAGATGTCATGCTAGCTAAATGAAGTACGAGTGGGCAAGTTGTGGCAACAGCATCTCATTTCTGACCATCTTTGCAAGGGTGTATCTTGGAGTCAGGCAGAGAGCCTGGACTAGTACATGTGCTCAGCAGATCTCTGCAGAGTTTTGTGTGTGCTGAAAATCAATGTTTTATTAATCCGTTGTCTCTATGGCACACAGGAAGATATTCAGAACTGTATGTTTATCAAGCTCTACTACTATAGCATTCAACATGATCTGTTCCAAAAGGCTGTTGCACAGTGTTACTCAAAACTGCCTTTTGTTTGTGTGGTGGGAATGAGGGATATGTCATATATCCATCATACATAAATCAAGGGCTAAAAAAGTGTGGAGAGTGTTTCCATTTCCTATCATAACCACTGTTTTTGTAGTGTTCATTTTTTATTTCAGTTTTGCTTTTTATTCCCTAAATTTATTGTGAAAGGGTGAGTTACCTATTCCATCAAGTAAATTAATCCCAGATAGAAGCAAAATGATGGCTAATTGTTAGTATGAGACTAGAGTGGGATGACACTGTAGGAGGCACTGTGGCTCTCAGTTGAGTACAGTGGGCTTACATCATTGAACAAATAGTTCAAACTACTTTTTATGTTGTTGATGAACTTCCTTAGGATACTGGAATAGTGCAAACCATGGCTGTAATCCCAAAATGTGCTAGTAACTTCAGAGCAGTTAAAGATTGTCCTCTGCTCTAATACTTTGCAGACTAGTTAATTTCTAGAGCAGTCTTCCACTGATTCAGTAATTTAAAAATGAAGGTAAGTAGCCATAAAAATTAGCAAAGGGAGTGGTTTATGATGGTATGTAGAACACAGGGCATATGGGTTATTTGTGTGTAGTCTGATCTGGATCCTGCCCAGAAAAGTGTATTTGTCTATGTTACCTGTGCTGTGGAGATTGTGGAGGGGAGATGTTTTGCCTTTATGTGAAGTCTTTGGGTTGGCTTCTGTAGTAAAGTGATGGTTTAGGTGGAGGTGAGAGGGTAAAATCCTGCCAGAGTCTTGCCAAAGTATTTGGAAGACAGTGGGAGGAAATGTCATCTCCAGGCCTTCCCCAGAAACAAAATAAGGAAAATTACAATGAAAGAGCTCCTCCTGTATCTTGCTTTGTGCTTTCTTTATATTTATTAGGAACAGGAAAAATGAAATTTGAGGTATTACTCCAGTGTGTTCACTTTGATGGAGACCACAAGAAAAGCTAGGGTGGAGGGTGGGAAGGGGGAAGTAAGTGAGATGTTCCAGAGGCTGATCCACAAACTGACCATGGCACAACTCTATTGAATTGGGTTCACCCAATTGAAGCTAGTTGTTTCTTATTTTCCTTTTCTGATGAGTAATGTGTGTATTTTTTATCATTCACTTTAATGATATATTTACTTTATATATGCTTTAGCAGCATTTATGTATGATACCTTACATTTGAACAGAAAGGTTTTTTCATTTGTGGTAACTTTGTGTATGGAATGTAATGAACTTTTTGTATAAAATTTCTTCCTTAATTTTCCTTGTTGCATAAAATGTCTTCTTAATTTTCCAGATTACCAAAGCTTTACCTGTGTGAATTCTGTCTTAAATACATGAAAAGTAAAAACATTTTGTTAAGGCACTCAGAGAAATGTGGCTGGTTTCATCCTCCAGCCAATGAAATCTACAGGAGAAATGACCTTTCAGTATTTGAGGTAGGTGTATCAAAAGTATAAGCTTTTGGAAAATAACCAGTTTCTATGGTTATGTTATTTCTATGGTTATGTTAAAGTCTAGTTGTAGAGCTAGTGAATACTTTAACATCCTTAAGTACTTCCTTGGAAATTCTTCTTATACTGCAAGTTGAGATTCTGCTTATATTGCAAAAAAAAAATCCACCTTCCCAATTCTATCCTACCCTACCATGTTCTTTTGTGATTCGTTCTTTACTAGTACTTCATGCCTTATCCAAGCTCTTTAAGATACTTGAATAGCATTAGTCCTAGGGCTTCCTTTGCAGTTCTCAGCTTGGATTGGTTTGCCTTTCCCTTCTCAGCAAAAGTACCCCTTCACACCCATTCATTTCTGGCTGCTTGAGTGTCTTGGGTGTAGGGAGAAGTCTAATCATAAGTGCTCCCAAAGTATGAAAGCAAGTAAAGCAGCTTCTTACATGTTCTAAAATCACAAATGTAGCTCCTGAGTGCTTCTGCCTTCATTTTGGATGTTTGAGAAACTTGCTGTGAGATACAAAAAACCCCACAACCTCAATTTTGGATTTATTAATCTATGTTATTCTTTTGGGAGGTGACTTATTTTAAGTATGAGGTTTTATGTATATCCTGGACAAGAGAATTCTGTGTCTCTTATAGCATACCTGCAGTTAAAACTGTGCCTTAACTTCCACATTGCAGTTTCTCAAGCATTATTACAGTTTGTAATAACAGAAAAGACTGGTGGGGTTACTAGGACTTCTTTTCTCAACAGTGTTATTGAGATTCTTGTATTGATAATTTCTCTTTAATTGCAGATGTCATTCTTATTCAGACTTGTATTTTCAAATTATATGAATGTCCTTTGTGCTTCATCATTGCCATTATCTGTTAGATTCTGTCTAGAAGTCTTTTTTAAAGTTAGAACAAGATATTTGTATTTGTTGGTTTTGGTTGGTTTTGTTTTTTTTCTTTTTGTTATGTTTGTGCTATTAAATAACTATTTGCTTCAAAATTGTGTCCTTCCTGACTTGAGCAGTTTTTATAAATATTGAAGAACTGCCAGCAAAAGACTTATGTTGTAAATAGAATTACCTCTTTTCCTATCAAGAATGAAATTGCTCTAGACTGTTTAAAATAACTTTATTTTCTCTGTTAGTAGGTGTTAAGAATTGTGGAGCATACAATAGGCAAATTGGACTTTCTCATTTATTGTTATTAACCACTGGTAACATGTAAATGAAAAATTCTTAAGAAAATAAAGTTAAGTACAGAGAAATACTGAGAAAGGGGATGGAGAGGTGGGGGATTGCTGCAAGAAATACATGGAAAACAAAGTATTGTGAAAGCCATGTCCCAACTCTATCTCCACTGCTTTTGTTCCCTTTGTCTATTTTGGGTGCTTCAGTAAGCACTTGTGTTAAGCCTTCTGAAATAAATGTAGTTGGTTTGGGTCTTTTTATTTCAAAGGTTAATGTCAGTTGTCACTGACTGCTGTAGAAACTCAGTCCTTAGTTGATGTCCTTCTTCATAGATCCTTTCAAGAATTCTGTGCAACCATTTTCTTTTAGGCAGAATGAAGAGTTTGTGGTTTCCTTCATGCTTTGTGTTTTTGAGAGAAATGGAAATAAGTTTGGCATTCTGTGATTTATGTACCTCTGCCCAGAGGATGACTTTGACAGATTTGAGAGCAGACTTTGACATAGCTTACTATTATGCTGTAGCCAAGCAACTTTTGACAGATGCTTCCTTTTGAGCTTGCTGTCCCTCTTTTTTCCCTGCTTCTCACATTTAAAACTGATGAACAAGCTGTGTTTGCCTGAAATTTAAGAATTTTTTTTTACATTTCTGTACAAATGTTCTTACTAAAAAAGACAGCTCACATAATTTGCATTTTCAGGCTTACAGCTTAGCCAGTGGTAATTTCTGCTTACTTAGTGTTCACATTTAATTTGCACACTTGCTAATAATTGTGAAAAGTAATAAAAATCATCTGGACAATGGAGTGTGCTGTAAGAGTTTGATGTATTCAACAGGCTCTTAAGAGCTATGTACAAGTTTTTCTTGATGCCTTAAAGAGCAGTAGCTATTCGTTGAATGTTTTTTCTTCAATCCACTTAATGCAGTTATACTACTGATGTTCCTTTAAAATCCCTAAATATATCCAAAAGGATGGGTTTTGCTTAGATTTGTAACTAGGATTCTTACTCAAAACAAACTAGAATAGAAGATGGCTTCTTTTTCTGCACAGTTCATGTCATTTGTTTCTCTCTGAATGAAATACAGCTACTGTCATTATCAAAAACATCAGTACAAGCAAACCTTTCTATTAAGATTATTTCAGAAATGTGTTGCCTTTGACTGAGCCTTTCAGGAAGTACCTAATTGATCTAGGAAATCTGCATTTGTGTCTGGCTTTTCTGTAGCTGTCGGAATCACAGCTTGACTCTTTTCACTCATAATATACCTAGACTAATTGTAGTATTTAGCCAGGAAATTTACCTCTCTCACTCAATAACATTTTAGCCTGGTATGGAAATTTTGTCTTGTCTAATTTATCCAAAACATTGATGTGATTGATATGTAATTTGCTACTCATTTATTTGCCTTACATCTTAAGGATTCAACATAATACACTTCTTTCTTTGGTTTGTTTTTTTTTTTTTTGAAGTTGTTGTACTCCACTGCCTTCTAGCAAACCAATTTAAGGCAGTTTTAGTGCGTTTTTGCTATCTGCCAGTCATGCTCATTGTCATTCCAGGAATAAAAAGAAAGAGGTAAGTCTGTCTTGAACAACTAAAAGGTGAAGTTACTTGGTTTAATAAATCCAGATGCTCAGTGGTTACTTAAAAAGGCAAAGTAATTAGCACCTACTGGAGGATTCTTATTTAAGAAGAAACTGGAGCATTTCTCTTTTGAACCTTGATGTGTTTTGTTTGTTTGTTTCTTGTAACACCATACTGTTCACGTTTCCTTCAAGGATATGATTGATTCAGTAAGTTGTTTTGTCCTAACTTGTTGGTGCCATGGAAATAACTGCATCTATCTTGCTTTTCTAGGTTGATGGAAATGTGAGCAAAATTTATTGTCAGAATCTTTGTTTGTTAGCTAAGCTCTTTCTGGACCACAAAACCTTGTATTATGATGTTGAACCATTCCTCTTCTATGTCCTTACAAAAAATGATGAGAAAGGCTGCCATTTAGTTGGATATTTCTCTAAGGTAAAAATTTTAAAAATAGGTTTATTTAATATTTGTAATGTCCTGCTCTCCTTAATGCTTCTCCCAAAAGCAAAGAAAAATCAGAAGTTGGAAAAAAAAACCCATGAGCTTGAAAGGCTCTCTGTAAATCTTGACTATTACGTGCATTGTCTCAAATACATTGTACTTTCTTGCCTCTGATGCAAATTCAGAATTTGTTCAGCCACATGGATGGGGATAGGTTTTTTCTTGTCTGGGGATTTTGCTTCCAAAATTTGTTGTGATTTCAGCTGAATATTTAAATCTTTTTCCTTCCCCAACGTTTTTTCATTAGTATGCCAAATCTAACTTGTAAAAGTTGCAGGTATTTGGAATGTTGATGTGCTTTCATGGCTTGACTGCTGGCAGCCCTAGCTGGCTATTTAGATGTAAATGGACAGTGCTGTTGCTCTCTTGTGTGCAGTCTGATCTAATGCAGTTACTTGCTGCTCCCATGTAAGAATGCATTGCCTGACTTCATGGTGGTTGCCTTGTTTAGAGTGGATGTCTCAGTTGTAGCTGATTTTCAAGTAATAGATGGCTGCTATTGACAAAAATAATACTTAAGTGTACTATCTTGACAAAGATGACCAAGAAAAATGGTGAACTATAGTTAGATGTGCTTGCAATGGGAAAAGCTTCCATTATTGTCCATAATTTGCCCCTAAGGGATGTGTTGAATAGGTACAGTTACTCAGAAATTCACTACTGATCCTAGATTTGCTACCTCCTATTGACTATATATTTTCTTTCTTGAATAAGTGAATTGTGGGAAAACAGTAGCTAGGAGAAACCCAAAAGTCTTGTCAGAGTACCTGGATATTATACAGTAATCTCTTGGATGTCTGGCCACATCCTTCCAAAAGGTGGACCTTGCTGAAATTAAAGTGAGACATGTAGGCACAATTTACACTGTCTTTAATGTCAGTCAGAACTTCTTGTGACAGACATGTCAGCTTTTATTTAGCCTTTTTATTTATTTTATTTTCTCCATTTACTTAAGGTGTTGCAGCTTAAGGTGAGTCTCTTGATTTTTGCTCCTTATCATAGAATGGTTCATGTTGGAAAATCCCTTTGAGATCATTGAGTTTGTCTGTTACCCCAGCACTGCCATGGTGGCTGCTAAACAGTGTTCCCAAGTGCCACATTTACAAGTATTTTGAACATTTCCAGAGATGGCAATTCTGCCACTCCCATGACCAGCCTGTTCCAATGCTTCGTAACCCTCTCAGTGAAGAAAGCTTTCCTAATGTGCAATGTGAACCTCCCTTGATGCAACTCAAGGCCATTTCCTCTCAACCTGTCACTACATAATGGGGATAAGAGAAAAGCCCAAGTAGAACATAGCCACAGCCTTTCCCTCCTCCTCCAAGTGGGTCACCCTGTCATAGAAGAAGATCAGGTTAATCAGGCAGCACCTGCCTTTCATAAACCCAAGCTGGCTGGACCTGATTCCCTGGTTGTCCTGCATGGGCCATGTGATGGCAGTCAAAATTGTCTGCTCTGTGACCTTCCCCTGGCACAAGAGGTCAGGCTGACAGACCTGTAGTTCCCCAAATCCTCTTTCTGCCACTTTTTGTTTTACAGTTGCTAACTGGGACCTTTATGGTTAACCAGAACTGCTGGTAAATGGTGGAGAGTGACTCAGTGAGCTCTTCCAACAGTTCCCTTGGGCTCTGTGGACATGTAGATGTTTTAAGTGGCATGATGGGTCACTAAGCCTTTTCTTGTGGATCACAGGGCCTTCGTCCTGCTCCCTGTTTCTATCTTCCTGCTCAGGGGGCTGGGTACCCTGAATACAGCTGGTCTTGCTGTTAAGAACTGAGGCAAAGAAGGCATGAAGTACCTCAGCCTTTTCCTCATTGTTGTGGTTTAAGCCCAACTGGAAATTACACCCCATGCAGCCACTCCCCACTCCCTCCAGTGATAGAAGCAAAATGCAAAGGTTATGTGTTGGGATAACAATTCACTGGAAAGGTAATGAGATAAGAAATTGAACAGTAAGAGCAACAATACTAATAAAACAGTGTATAAAAAAGGGTGATTACATGCAAAATGTTCAATGCATCAGAGGTGACCTACTACTCCCCCACATTTTCTCCCCCCTCAAGCCAGAGACAGTGAAAAAAAATGCTGGACAACCCTCCAGTCAGGACCAGCAGCATTGCACTGCATTGCTTGCCACCCATTCCTCTGGAAAAGGACAAAAATGCCTGTGGACCCTCTGAATACTCTTACCTCCACCCAAAACCATGCCCCTTTCTTGGAAGTGGGGAATTCCTTAACTTCCACCCCCAGTGATTATGTAGGTGGTATAGAATAACAACAATTTTTTTCTTGACTTGTGTGCCAGTGGCCATTTTGCATTCTAGGTGTGCTTTAACCCTTCTAATACTGTCCTTAAAACTTGCAACACCCTTGAAGTCCTCCTGTTGCCTATCCTCTTCTTCCAAAGGTGATAGACTCTCATTTTCCCTGAGCTTGAGACAAAGCTCTCTGCTCAACCAGTCACGTTCTCTCAGCATGCTCATCTGGAAGCACATGGGGATGTCCTGCTCCTGTATCTTTAAAAATTTCCTTCTTTCAGCGTGTCTAGCTTTTGTGGACTCCTTTGCTTTGCAGAACTTCATCCTAAGGGCCTTTCTCAACCAGCATCCTAAACAGGCCAAAGTCTGCCCTGTGGGAGTCCAAGGTAGCAGTTCTAGTGACCCCCCCCCGGTCATGATTTCTTGAAGAAAAAAGCTATCATTTCATGATCACTGTGTGCAAGATGACCTCCAGTCATCACATCACCCCCCAGTCCCTGTTCTCAAGCAGCAGGTCCAGCTGAGTACCTTCCCCTTTTGGCTCACTCACCAGCTGTATCAGGAAGTTATATTCACACATTGCAGGAACCTCCTAGTCTGCTTCATTTCTGCTGTGCTGTTTCCAGCAAATAGCTGGTAAATTGAAGTCCCCCTCAAGAACAAGGGCTGGTGATCACAAGACTAACCCCAGCTGCTTATAGAATAATTCCTCTGCCTCTTCATTGTGGTTGAGTGGTGTATAGCAGACTCCCACCAGGACATCTGCCCTGTTACCCTTCCAATTCTTCCTCAGAAATACTCTTTCATCACTTTGATTAAGCGTAAGACAGTCCTAAACATACAAGGCTACCCCACTACCTCTTCTTTCTCACCTATCCCATCTGAAGGATGTCTAGCCATCCATTTCAGCACTCCAGTTGTGTGAGTGATCCCACCATGGCTCCATGATAGCAGCTATGTCATAGTTTTCCTGCTGCACAATGGCTTCCATTTACTCCTGTTTGTTGACCAAGCTGTGTGCGTTGGTGTAGGTGCACTCGAGTTGGGCGATTCAGTCCTGCTGCCTTTTTGGGAGGAGCAGCTCCAATTCCTATGTGACCTTTCTCAGGCACTTCCATGGTTTCTAACACATCAATAACCCTTGTATCCTTGCTGCCATATGGATCTCTGTGTCCTACCTTTACTGAGTGAAGGATGTTGTTAGCACACCTTCCCTCGAACAATGGATACATTTTCTTCTTCCGCTTTACCCCTGTTGCTTTTGGCAAGCCTGTGTTGATCACAATGTGATCTGATGATCATAAATATTATCACCACCAAAACTTAGAGA